TTATAGTTTAAATTAGTTTTTGGAAAGTGTCAAAAATGTTTACCGAATTCAGTAAAATGATACTGAAAAATAAAAATATTATAGCCATTAATAATTTTTGAATTTTCAACTTTAACAGGTAGGTAAGGTACCTACCTAAGTACTTAGCATAAGTAATTATAAACAACAGGTTATTTCTTTAAGCTGGTACGTAACAATGTAATAAAAAAAACCCTTAAGATGGTAGGTAAATAATATAAATGAATTCTTAATATTGAAGTAAACACAATAGGTTCTATAAGGATTATTGGTTGGGGTTCGGCTCTGGGGGATAGGACATTTAGGGTCGAAATATTGAAACTAAACTTGGTATATGGATGTAATATCCCATAAAAATAAAAATCGCTTTAAAAAATTCACCCCTCCCCACCCCTATCTGATATGGTGAGGGTGGCATCCTCAAAAAATTAAGTTAGAACTTTTTAAATAAAACAGTTGAAGTCTACGATTTTTTATACATAAAAACCCAAAATTACAATTTTTTTTGAACTTAGAAAAAATTTCGACTTTAATCTTTAATAGTTCGGATGTGGGGGCTGGCATTTAAAAATAGTTACAAACGGCATAAAAATCTTATTTTTGGCATATTTACAATAAAAATGATTTGCAACATTTTTGTATAAATATCTTACCACCACCATCCCTTAGAGGGAGTTGGAAGGGGGAGCATCCCCAAAAAAATCAAGTTAGAACTTAAAAAATACAGTTAAAATCTACAATTTTTTATACATATAAACCCAAAATCTCAATTTCTTTATCAATTTATTAAATGAAATTATTTTTTTAATTTCTTTATTATATTTAATATTATTTCTACTTTTTCTAACAATAATCAACTTAAGATATCTACTTTGATTGAGCCAAAATATTTAGTAGGGGAAGTTTCTAATATTATACAAACATACTGTGTGTTCAAAAAAATATATGAATTTGCCTAAACATTAACCTTTATTTCTAAAAACAGAAGAACAATGTTACTTAAAAAATATATCTAGAATTAATATTTACCACTATCAAATCCTGGACCTGGACACAATTTTTTTTAATCAATACGGGAGAAGCAGAAGTGACATTTTTACAAATGAAATTAATTTCAACAAATTTATTTGAGATCATGTACAAGATTATTCATTATTAAAGACACCTTTTATAACCACTATTGCATATTCAAAAAAAGCTTTAAATAAAAGTTTGTGAATATGACTGACTTTTTTAAATATACCATAAAAACACGTATTCAGATTTCAAGGAATACAACACAAATAAACTTTTTTAAATGGGATACCCTCTATGTTATTAAATTTCTGGGATATATTGTTTTCTAATTTCACAAAGGTATATTATTGATAACCCTAGCTTATACCGTCTTGTTACGTTGTAACCGTCACTACCCCGTCACGTGCCCCTCGTATTTGGAAATATGGATATTATGTTAATTCGGGGAAATTGTCTCTGTCTAAAAATTACTGTCAGAGGTTGTGCGCACGCCTGGCCACCTGTTGATGTGAATACATCACGTTTTCTTGTTTGCTAAATTCTTTTTCAATTTTGCAGCCGAATGAATCAGTTGGTTTAGTGCTTTGTTAAGTGTTTCCGAACTAACTAAGGAACTGGCCCTGTAAGGACAGTAAGGAACTGGCCCTGTAAGGAACATTTGATAAACTAAGAACTCGTAGAACATGTCTAGAAAGTCATCATAGGCTGAGCTACATCTGGGACTGCAGAATATGTCTAGAAAGTCATCCTAGGCTGAGATACATCTAGAACTGCAGAATATGTCTAGAAAATCATCGTAGGCTGAGCTACAGTTAAGAGAGCGACACGGACCAGTTCGACCGTTGAAATCCGGAAACACACAAGATAAGTGTCGGCCAGGACCACACACAATTTTTGAGTCAAAGTTCATACTAGTCAATTTTAATTTTAAACGTATTATCTAGTCAAAAAACGTAAACCGTAAAATTTGTTAAAATCAATAAATTTCATTTTTCTTTCTTATTGTTAACTATTACTCATTAGGTAATTTATTTTAAATTAAAGCCGATTAATTTGTTAAAATCAATAAATTTCATTTTTCTTTCTTATTTGTTAATATCACTCATTAACTAATTTAGTTTAAATTAAAGCCGATTAATTGTTTTGAAATTTAAGTTCTTTTATTTTCCTTACTTTTAACTGACAAGTTAATGGCAAATTTACTTTTATTTTAGATCTAAAGGTATGGCGCCCAAATTAATTTAATTTAATTCTTTTAAGTCTTTTTAATTAAAGACCTTGCCATTGATTTGAAGGTAAATTCTAAACGAATCCCACTGACCCATTTTGATCTGAGCTAGGCCTGAGGCTTGTAAGAATTCTTATTATAAGGATTTTTACAATGATACCCAGGTAAGGATTAAAAAGTTAACGTATCATCTGGTGCAAAATATGTTTTTTAAAACGTAACAGTCTGTTCTCCAGTATAACGTTAATAATGTAAACATGAAAAAGTTAACATTATTAAAGTAAAAGCTATTGAAAATCACAACTATTATGTTTGATAATAAAATAATCCAAATATAGGTAAATAGTTTACAGTGAGGAAGAAAAAGTGTAAATATTTATAAGATATTCGACGTTTAATTAATCAGGAAAGAATAAAAATCATTCCGAAAATTGAATAAAATATTCATGTTAAATCCTGTGAAATATGCACGCCACTGATATGTTCATTTGATGACATTTTTACAAATTTCGGTCAATGTAAACATTATACAATAATAATTATGGCATAAAGGAAGGGTAATTTATAATGAATAACCCTGTTAGGTACCTAATAATTTTCAGTAAAAAAAAATTATTTCGCACTTTTTTACGTAGATTAAAGAAAAATGTAATTTCGTGTTTTCTTGGTGCAGACATATTCAAATCCAAAATGATGTATTTTCTTTTAACACATACCTAATACAAATTTATTAGCAAATTTAAATACTTGTTATTTTCGGTATATTTCTCCTTTAGACACACACATTTTTAGTTTCATTGTCAAAAGATTTAAATAACATTACCGGACCTTATAATATTCTATTATAATTTGATGATCCCGAGTGGCCATAGCAAAAAGACGTCTACTCGTGGGTTTGAACTCGGGACCTTTCGATTCATAGACGAGTACTCTAAATATTCGTTATGGAGGCTTACGAGAAAGTTTTACTTTTTAACGCTGATAATCAGATTGCTTTTAGTTTCATTAAAATCTCAGTTTATTTTTAAATATAGACGAATATCTTGTGGAATGCTATTATTTATTGATTCTTCACAAGAATCATTAATTTTTAATTATATTTAATCTTAATAGCTAAAAAAATATATATTGACAATTAATTTGACGGAATTGTCACTTATAAAGTTCTAACATCTAACCAGTAAATAAAATCGTTAGTTCAATCATTGTACCAATAGATGTCGGGTGCGATTGCCTCCAATAACTTTTACATGGCGATTATCCTACTATAGTTCTTTATACAATGATTTAGTCGAGTTTTTGCGGTAGCGTGATCGCATCTTCGATTTGTTTAGCCATTATAAGTGTTTCTCCGGGGTGAAAATTAAGGTATTTATAAAATACCTATGTTACAAATTAAATGTATTACTATATTTCTACTTAGTAACATGTTGATTATAATTTAGACTACTGTTGATCAATTTCAATAAAAACTAAAAGTTTTACTATTACAAAAATTTTTATCCTCAAAATCGGGTATTACCGATCAGATGTTCCTTATTATCCTTCAAGATGTTCGCCATTTTCTGGCACTTAAATAAGTGGTAACATTTAATTATTATTTTCAAATGCCTTTTTAAAAGGAAACGAATGACAAGCAAATGCTCATGGTCTGAGGTGCAGATGAAGATGGCAATAGCAGCAGTTAACGAGAGTCGTTATAGTCTGCGAGCAGCTGCCCGTCATTTTGATGTACCGGTAACTTCATTACAAAATCGAGTAAAATAGGGCTATTATAAGGCTAGAATGGGAACTACAACCATTTTTACAGCAAAACAGGAAGAATATATCTATCAACATTTATTTTTTTTTCCCAAAAATGTTTTACGGTCGAACTCCACTCCAGTTAAGACGTGCAGTTTACTCTTACGCTGAAAAACTATCAATTCAACACGGATTTAATAAGGAGAAACATGAAGCCCGTAAAGACTGGATGTATGGTTTTAAGCGCAGACATCATCAATTAAGCTTTCGAAAACCTGAGGCTACTAGCATTAATCGTATAATGGGATTTAACGAGCTGGAAATAAAAAGATTTTTTTTGACAATTTAGAAAACCTAATAGCAAAGTATAATTTTCAGCCAACCCGTGTTTTTAATATCGATGAGACGGGAATCGGTATTGTTAACAGAACCAAATCGAATTATAGGGACAAAAGAACAAAAGCAAATAAGCTCCGCAACCAGTAGGGAAAGAGGTAAAAATATAACCGTATGCTATTGCATGAGTGCAAGTGGATCCTTTACTCCATCAATGTTTCTATACCCAAGAATTCGAATAACACCTGCTTTAGAAAAAGACGGACCTCCCGGATCTGTATATAAATGCACAAAAAGTGGTTGGATGGTTGAAGAGATGTTTTTGGTATGCATTTAACATTTTGTAAAAAATTAGTCTTTAGCGTGCGGAAAGATATTTAGAAAATTAGGTGTTTATGAAATTTACTTTATCACCCTGTAGAATGAAAACTGAGGCGTTTACATAAAAAATATGTAGGTATTTAGTTTTTGCTAATAATTAGTTAAGATCTACAATTCCCCCAGTTTACGGTACTTTATTTTGAAACACCCTGTATATCTTGAGCATCTTTCAAAAGTAACCCGGCCCCCGTAGACTAGGCCATGAGCCGCCACTGGTTCCATTTGGAAACTTTAAAGATTATAAACCTGTTTATAGTTACTTTTAATCTGCAAGTAAATACCACAATGTAAATTTTGGTTTTGTTTTATTCAGTTTAATTCAAAATATCATTATATTAACAACAATAATTTCTGTTGATACAAATAAAACGCAAGTAAAATTGAAAATATCGATAGTATAAAGAAACAAACAACTCATGATAACCTCTAACTGGTAATGGAATAAGTATTTTAATTTCTAAATTTATTGTAACGTGCTATCGTCTATAACATTGAACTCTGAAAAATGGAAGCCATCAATTTCACAGCCAAAACCAAAAAATTGGAGCTGGTTAACTTGCCTGTACCGAAAGTGACGAAGCCTGATCAGGTTCTTATCAAAGTAGCCTACGCCGGAATTTGTGGAACCGATCTACATATTATACAGGTAACGATTATGATACCTAATATTCAGATTACTTAAAAATAACCCTTTTTTAGGGAGAATTTCCATGTAACGAAAATGAAACGTTCACTTTGGGCCATGAATTTTCTGGCACAGTAGTCGATGTTGGTTCAGATGTAAAAATATTCAAAAAAGGAGATAGGGTCTCAGTTGATCCCAACAGGTAATAAATAATAACTTGCTACAATACCTAAATTTTAACAGCATTTTCATAGATTTCATATACAGGGTGTCCCAATAGTGTGTGGAAGTTCGATATATCCTATATTATAGAAAATATCAAACAATGTTATTTACAAAAGTTGTAGATAATATTAATCTGCACATTTCAAAATTATTTTTGATTATACAGAGTGATCCGTAACTTCAGAATTGATCAAACCTATGATTTTTAAATGGACCACCCTGTATTTAATTATAAATTTGAATTCCTCTGACTTTGCCCTTCAAGAAAATACCAAAATATATGAGGTTGTACGGGGTATTTTGGAATTTTAAACCAATTTTATATGAAAATCGTACTAGGCTCAATCCTTTATATGTTTCGAAAGGAACAATCGAACATCAAAATTTTTTGATGAATCATTTTTAATGATGGTCTACTTTTATAAGAATATATTAATTTTTTCCTAGCGCAACAGACGTGTACAGGGTGAGTCAAAACTGACATGATTTTCACAATTTTTTTAAATGTAACACCCTGTATTTCATATCACTACTAAAAAGTACTCTAATTATACGTTCGTTTTAATTAAATATTGCCTATCCCTAAACACAGTTTAGCGAGATTCTTAGATGAAATGTTAAAAAGGGTTAATTATAACTAAATACACAATGTAATTTGATTTAAACTCCCGTTAAATATTACATACTAGTTACTAGTTGATCAGTTTATATTTTTAAGGTACCTGGTACAATTTTTTAACAATTGATTTTATTTTTTGGTACCTTTACAACTTTTTATATAAAATGCAATGAAAACGCTAAGAGAACTTCAAATTTTGTGTGCATTAGGTCAAGTGGGCTTTGAAATTTATGTCAAAAGAACAATTTGACAGTTTCGAATTGTTTAAATAAAAAAATAAAATTTCGTTTATTGTTCACAAGTATTTAAATTTATTGATTTGACTAATTTAAAAATCTGATGTGTCCAACTTTCCTATCTAGTTATTATAAGCTTTTTCCGGTTATTTTGTACAACCTATTGCAGCATCTCTATAAATGTTTAGAGGATAAACTAAATATATACATTGTCCACATACATTTACCGCGAAACGTTTTTCTATAGATATTCATTGAAAACGAAAATACTGAAAAATTTAAATTTCCTACAATTTTTTCATTACGGTCCATTTTAGAAAAATCATGTATAAACAAAAATTATAGAGATCGATATCGCAAACAACTTTTATTTCAAAACTTTCATAAAAATCAGAATTTTGCACATTTTGTCAAATTTCTCGAATACGGACCATTTCTGGAAATTTTGACATAAAGCAGATATTATAGATAATAATATTAGAAGTAACTTTTTTCTTCAAACATAAATAACAGATCTATTCCATAAAATATAAAAACGGCCTCCCATAAAGTATCCCCCCAGATGTTCCAACTTTGTCCAAAATCTAATCATTTCACGTCAGGCCGAAATAAAACTTAAGTTTAAAATTTAATGTTTTTTTATTCGTTTTTGAGTTTTCTTCAAATTTCAAAATTTATAATTTTCTCAAATTTCTCGAATACGGTCCATTTAAGAGAAATTATGTATAAAATAAAAATTATAGAAAATTATATTACAAACAACTTTTATTTGAACAATTTTTATAAAAAAATATTTTTTTACATTTTGTCAAATTTCTCGAATACGGACCATTTTAGGAAAATTTTGTATAGAACAAAAATTTCAGATAATAATATAAGAAGTTACTTTTATTTAAAGAATTTTCTTCCCCAAACGTAAATAACAGATATATACCATAAAATATAAAAATGACCACCCATAAAGTACCCCCTCCGACTCTGCTCAAAATCTAACCAGTTCATTGGACGCTGGAACAAAGCTTAAGTTTAAAATTTGATGTTTTTCTGTGTATTGGTTCATGAGTTATGCGACACACAGACCACAGACCACAGACCACAGACCACAGACCACAGACCACAGACCACAGACCACAGACCACAGACCACAGACCACAGACCACAGACCACAGACCACAGACCACAGACCACAGACCACAGACCACAGACCACAGACCACAGACCACAGACCACAGACCACAGACCACAGACCACAGACCACAGACCACAGACCACAGACCACAGACACACAGACACACAGACACACAGACACACAGACACACAGACACACAGACCACAGACACACAGACACGCAGACACACAGACACGCAGACACACAGAAAAAAATTAGTCTATTCTTATAATAGTAGACTATCATTAAAAATGATTCATCAAAAATTTTGATGTTCGATTGTTCCTTTCGAAACATATAAAGGATTGAACCTAGTACGATTTTCATATAAAATTGGTTTTAAACTTCCAAAATACCCAGTATAACCTCATACATGTTGGTATTTTCTTGAAGGGCAAAGTCAGGGGAATTTAAATTTACAATTAAATACAGGGTGGTCCATTTAAAAAACAGG